CGCCACGGTGAACTGCACTTTTCTTGCGACGTTTTGTTATCTGACGACAATGCGATGGCCCGCTCTTTCTCGCCTTGAGTGGCAAAAGAAATTAAGCGTTTTTTTTTAAGTCAATCTACTAGCGAAGAAGAAGAAATATTTATTTATTATATATTTATATATATATATATATATCCTATTGCGCGGCAAGCAGATCACAGAAAATGCAGAGTCAGGTGAAGGTTGTCCTTGACGGCGCCTCGCTTACGCCCGACGCGCTGTACACTTTGGGTTATGAGCCGCTCGCCACCATCGACCTTGCAGCTAATGCGGTTGCAAGGATCAAAGCTGGGCGCGCCGTGATCGATAAGATTGTCGAGGATCGCCAAACAGTCTATGGCATTAACACAGGCTTTGGTAAGTTTGAATCAACGATTATCTCACCGGATCAATTGGAGTTGCTGCAGCTGAATCTTGTTCGGTCGCACAGCGCGTGCGTCGGTGAGCCATTGACACCCCAGCGGGCCCGCATGATGATGGCCCTCCGTGTCAATATTCTCTGCAAAGGTCACAGCGGCATTCGTTTGGAGACGGTTCAAAAATACGTCCAGGCGTTCAACGCCGGTGTCGTTCCCTACATTCCAGAGCAAGGAACCGTGGGTGCCAGCGGGGATCTCGGGCCACTGTCTCACCTCGCCCTCGGAATGCTTGGCGAAGGACGCCTCGCAACGCTCAAAAACCTCAAGTTCCGTGACGCCCGAGTTGTTTTGCAGGAGTTGGGCGTCGAGCCCATCACATTGAAGGCAAAGGAGGGGTTGGCGCTGATTAACGGAACGCAGTTTATTTCTGCCCTCGGTTCGGAAGCCGTTGTGCGGGCTCGAAGGGTTGCTCGCCTTGCGGACGTTGTCCTTGCCATGACTTCTGAAGCTCTGCTGTCAACTGTCAGTAACCTTAACCCTGACATTCATCGTGTGCGCCCTCACAAGGGTCAACAGATTGTGGCTCTGCGCTTGCGGTCGCTTTTGCATAGCGAAAAGTTTCCGTCTGCAATTTGTCTCAGCCATGCCAACTGCGGTCGCGTTCAGGACGCCTACTCTATCCGGTGCGCCCCCCAGGTGCATGGGATCTCTAACGACATCGTTGAGTGGGTGTACGGTGTCCTTACCACGGAACTCAACTGCGCCACTGATAACCCGTTGGTGTTCCCGGACGGAGTGAAAAAGGTCGTTTCGTGCGGTAATTTTCATGGTGAGTACCCGGCGAAGGCCCTTGATATGCTTGCTATTGGTGTGCATGAACTTGGGAACATCAGTGAGCGTCGCATCGAGCGTCTTAACAACCCCTCTCTGAGCCGTCTTCCCGCCTTCTTGGTGAAAAACGGAGGACTCAACTCGGGCTTCATGATCGCACATTGCACCGCCGCCGCCCTCGTCTCGGAGAACAAGGTCTACTGCCACCCCGCCTCCATTGACAGCATCTCCACCTCCGCTGCCCAGGAAGATCACGTCAGCATGGGCGGGTTCTCCGCACGCAAGGCCATTAAGGTTGTGGAAAATGTCGAGCACATCCTCGCCATTGAGCTGCTGTGCGCCTGCCAGGGCGTCGATCTCCTGCGGCCGCTCAGGTCGACGGAGCCGATGGAGAAGGTCTGGAGCCTCGTCCGCGGCGTCAGCCCCAGCTGGGACAAGGATCGTGAGATGCACAGCAGTATTACAAACGTCGTGAAGCTGCTGCGCTCCGGTGCCATCTGGAACGTCGTTAAGAAGTACGTCCCCGAGGAGGCGCGCTTCCTGGACGTCTTCACCGTCAAGAAACCGTTTGGGCTGCAATCCAAGATGTGAATAGGAAACGCATGCCACGCGACAACAAAATAATAATAAATAAAGCGAGCGATTGGTGGTGCTGAGGTGGCGGAGGACAACATCCACTCTGGGCCCAGTGCCCCCTTGTGAAAGGGGCGGTGACAAATAAAGGCATGTTCCAGGGGAACACGAAGCTTTAGTAGGAAAGGGGGAGGGAAAGGAAAAGGAAAACGGAAAAGGAAAAAGAGTATTTTATTTTATTTCTATCAAGGCGAAGCATGCTTAAAAAAAAAATATTTGTTATCCACTTGTGCATCCCATATTTCGTTATATATATGTATGTGTGTGTGTGTAGATATATATGGAGGGAGGCAACTTACTGTGTTGTTTTCCTTCGACTTATGTGCATTTCTGTCACACAGGGAATGCGTGACAAGAAGCAGTTTAGGGCAAAATATAACTGTCAATGGAGAGAGCCGCTGCGTTAGGCGGTCGCCCTCCAGTTTTATTTCTATTTTTTTCTCCTTTAAGGCTATGTGTTTTACTTTGATTAGGGCATATCGATCTGTCTACCCTTCCATCTTTATTTTTTTTGTTGTTACTATTTACTTGGATAATTGTGCGGGTTTTTTTCTCCATTTATCTATTGATTGACCTCTGACTTCGCCCTCCAAACCATTGACCACGAAATGTTGGCGTGATCAAATGTACTGTGCCGTGTGACTTTGCGGGCAGTACTGCGTGGACAGAGTCGAGGCCTAAGGTGGGAAAATACTGGCAAACGGAATGGCAGCAGGGCGGCCTTCGTTTTTTCTTATTTATTTAGACCGCGTGTTTTGTGTGTGTGCGCGCCTTTCCCTGATCTTTTTTTTTTGTTCTCTTTAATTTTGTTTACTTTTTTTTTGGGGGGGGGTTCTTTTCCAAATTTATCCCTCTCCTCGCTTTTCCTTCTTATTCTCCCTCGCCTAGGTCTGCGTGGCTGTTTCTTTGTTTAAAGCCCCGAACTGAGGGGAGGAGCGGAGCGGGCGAAGGCGATGCGCTTCCTCTACCCGATGGCGAGACGCTCGGCGGCGGCGTACACGATGCACAATGTGACTGTGCCCGAGCCCTACGACTACCTCGAGGACCCCGAGAGCCCCGAGACAAAGTCGTTTGTGCAGGCACAAAACGCGTTGTTTGAGGACTACCTTGCTGCGGATGCCGAGCTCCGCAAGAAGCTCTTTGACAAGATATCCGAGTCGCAGAATTACCCCCGCACTTCCAACCCCAGTTATCGCAACGGGCACTATTATTACTACCACAACTCTGGCCTGCAGAACCAGAGTGTTTTGATGCGCGCGAAGAGCCTCACCGGCGACACCCCGAGCATCTTCCTGGACCCCAACACAATGAGCAGTGACGGTACAACTGCGCTCAAGGCCTCCGCTTGGAACGAGGACGAGACACTGTTTGCCTACAGTCTCAGCGACAAGGGAAGTGACTGGCAACACATCCATGTGAGGCGTGCCGACACGGTGCAAGATACTTCAGATGTAATTGAATGGGTCAAGTTCTCTGGCATTGCATGGTGGCGCAACCTGGGATTTTTTTATACGCGTTACCCTGCGCTGCGGGGTGATGTAGACAAGGGTGCCGAAACAGCCCAGGCGCAGGATGCGTTTATCTGCTTTCATTGCATCGGACGTCCCCAAGAGGAGGACGTTGTGATCCTCTCCGTGCCGGAACACCCACAATGGAGCCTGGCGGCGGAGGTGTCTGACTGCCAGTCCTACGTCATTGTCACCCTCTTTGACGGCTGCGAGCCACACAACCTCGTGTGGGTTGCGGAACTTCCATCGGCCGAAAAGGGGCTTGGCGCCGCACCGCTGGCCTTCACGAAGTTGGTCAATGACTTTGTTGGCAGCTATCACTATTTGGGAAACAACGAGCACACATTTTATTTTGTCACAACCCGTGATGCACCACGAAAAAAACTTATATCCATTGACATTCGCACCGGACACGAAGAAGTCATTCTGGAGCAGCAACGTTCCGTGCTAAGCCACGCCGCCCTTGTTAAGGATGTGCTTCTTCTTGTGTACCTGGAGGATGTAAAGGACGTGCTGTACTACCGCCGGCTGGGGGATCCCACGTTAAACAACATTGCATTGCCTATTGGAACGATCACTTCACTCTTTACCGAGCGAAAGAAGGATTTTGTGTCGTTTAAAATTACGTCATTCCTCCTTCCAGGGCGAAGCTTTGTCCTGGACATCAACGACCCACAGTCGTCCCTTCGCGTCTTTAAGGATGACACGGTGGAGGGACTTGTGGTGGATGATTTTGTCACGGAGCAGAAGTTCTACAACTCGTCGGATGGGGCACGAATCCCGATGTTTATCGTTCATCGAAAAGGCACTGTCACCTCCGCCTCGCCGCTGTTGCTGTACGCCTACGGCGGCTTCAACATCTCCCTGACCCCCGCATTCAGCTCCTCACGGATGGTGTTCTTGAGAAACCTTGGCGGCATTCTCGCCGTACCGAACATCCGTGGCGGTGGCGAGTACGGCGAGGAGTGGCACGACGCCGGCCGGCGGGCGTGCAAGCAGAACTGTTTTACCGACTTTATTGAGGGAGCCAAATTCCTGCACAGCCAAGGCTACGGCTCCCCCCAGACAACCGCTATTATGGGCGGCTCGAACGGGGGGCTGCTGGTTGCCGCGGTGGCGAACCAGGCCCCAGAGCTGTTTCGCTGTGTTGTCTGCCAAGTGGGGGTGCTGGACATGTACAAGTTTCACAGCTTCACTATCGGGCATGCGTGGAAGTCCGATTACGGTGATCCAGACAAGGAGGAGGATTTCAAGGTACTACAAAAATACAGTCCATTGCACAATATCAAATCCGCCGTCAAATACCCCGCCATCTTGGTGGTGACAGGCGACCACGACGACCGGGTGGTGCCGCTACACTCCCTGAAGTACACGGCAACGCTACAGCATGCGAATTCAACCGAGGGTGGGCCTTTCTTGGCGCGCATTGAGGTGGCAGCGGGACACGGCGCAGGCAAACCAACCAGCAAAATACTGCGCGAGGCAGGCGATATTTACACCTTCATCGCTAAGAATATTCATGCGTCGTGGAAGGAGTAAATCGGCGAACGCCAAATTTTTTTTGTTTCTTTGCTTTTTTGGTTTTGTTTTGTTTTTTGTTCCCGTACTTTTTGAAGAAAAGAAAAGAAAATAACGGTTGCCCTTGTTGTCGGTGAGAATGATAGGCGTGACGCCAATGTTGTTGTTTTTTCCACACGCCCTCTAAGAAGATCGTATTTGTGGTGTTTTTTTTTTGCTTTGTTTTATTGGCCCTCCGGCTTTTTGGTTTTGCAAGGCCGTATATTTCCTGTCCTGCGGTTGCCCCATCCTCATCCTCCTCCACGCGATGGAAATACCTTGTCTTTGCGTCTTCCCTCGATTTTCTGAAAGCGCGTGGGCGCGGTACCTGAGGCCTGCAAAGAATGGCGGCCGAAAAGGCGGCGGCACTGCAAGGAGTTCTTCTCACAGATTTGTGGAATGGGCCACTCTGCGCGGTAAGTCGGACGCGCGAGCGACTGGGCCATATCGACTTTGCCATGGTGGTGCCCCCGCTCCGCGCGTTTGTATACTGCATGTTGTGCCCTTTTCTCTGCTACCCGATTGCCGCGCTGCACTTGTGGGGCTACTACCGCTGCATGCGGACCCTCATCTTTCCCAAGTCTTACCGAAAGGAGCGCTACGCCTCACATGTGATGTACGGCGTGCAGAAGCGTGTGTATGATGCGAGGCAGAAGCGCATTCACGAAACGACGGTCGGTGATGCAGAGGAAATTCAACGCGCCCTGGAAGTCACCGCTGGCGCACGAAATCATTTTGTGGATGATCCCAACGCGAGCGGTGTTGCGTACTTCGTCGTGGAGCAAAAAATTATGAGGGCGGAGGCCATTTTTACGGGGGAGAATTGGGCCTGGGCGTTGATCTCGGACAGTTGCAGGTTTCTAGTCCCCGTCTTCTTGGCGTACTTGTTCGTTCCCTCCTGCAGGCGGCTGGGAGTCGACCTGCGGTTGTGGGCGCAAGGGCGTCTGCGTTGGTGGCAGCTGCGGCACCCCGTACTCAACTTCTTCAAGTCGTACCGCGACTACAACAACGTCATCAAGCGTATCAACATCACGAAGCCCCCACCAAAAGGCAAGGAGCCGTGGACCAAAAATCTTTAGCGCCAGCCGTGCATGTGCGTGGATGGCTACGTGGGTGAGAAGACTCTCAGCCTCCCTTTTCTGTTCTTCTCTATCGTGTGCCTCTGGCGGGGGAGGAAGAAGGGCCGTCCCAACTGAGGGACTGCAGCCAAGGAAGAGGGACGCGAAGAAGAAGAAAAAAACAAGAAAAGAATGAAAGAAAAAAGCGCCTACTGTTCTAAGCTCTCTGAGCGCGTGTCGTCGGCCATTTTTTGTTGACCTGTCCTTTTTGTTTTATTTTTTTCCCCCTTTTTTACTTTTGGTTTGCGCCCGACTTGGGGGTTGAGTCCTGTCTGCACTTTGCGAGTTCTTTGCGGAGAGGCGCTGAAGAGGGATGCAGGAGGCTGAGCGGCTCGTGGCCTCGCTGCTCGCCGCGCGCGGGGAGGAGGAGCAGCGGCGGGAGTCTCGCAGGCGGCGGCGCATCGACTGCATCGTAGCAGGTAACCAGGAACGAACGCAGCGTTGCAAGGGCATGCTGAGTGGTGTCCTGCAGCGCGGCGTCCAGACCGTGTCGCTGGCCGAGGGCGAGTTCCTGGGCTCCCTCGGGGATGTAGGGAGGTGGTGGGACCTGATCAGTGAACATATTCTAGAGGAAAAGCGGGAGTGCGAGGAGGCAGTGAAGCTGCAGAACCGGCTGAACTCCATGTACCTCACGTCGATGCAGCGGCGCGAGGAGAAGGAGCAGTCGGCCGTGGTTGGGACCGATGAGCGTCGGCTGCGCGAGTTGGAGGAGTGGTGCGTGGAGGAAGAGCGCCGCGCGAGGGAGGAGGTGGTTGGCGACGTCATGGACCGCATTCTCTCAGCCGTTGATGAGTGCATCGGATTCACTGAGAAACACGCGCTTGAGGGCGGCGTTTGGAACACGCTCCTCGGCGATATCGCGTTGAATGCCTTCATCCGAACCACCAACGCGACACCGCTGACGCAGGAAGAGCATGCCCGCATCGCCTTCAGGGAGATCTTTCACTGCCACCCGTTCCAGATCACAGGTGAGGCGTTTCTTTACCTTCTTTTTGCCATGTACGACACACTGAAGCCGGGCGCTTCATCAGTCAACTGCTTTGATCTCTCGCGCAGGCCGCTGTTTTTGATACATGGGCCAAAGCTCAGCGGTAAGACGGTTGTGTCTCGTGAGGTCTCCGCGGCACTCTCGCTGTTGTCCCTCTCGGATAGAGACTTGACAAATAAGGCCCTGGAGGCGTACCGAAATGAGCGCGATGGTTTACCAACCCTTCTCACGGTGGAGGACAGCGATGCCTTGCCGGTACTCTCAGCGTATGAGGAGCGCAACGCGCAGGACGAGGAAGTTGCATACCACAGCGAGTCACACCTTGAGCAGGTTGTTGACTCCTTCGTACGGCTTAGCCCATGGGCTAAGGTGGGCATGACTATTGAGGCTGCCCTTTCCCGCGGTGAAGCAGTGGACCCGTGCCTCATCGTGGAGCTGATGCAACTGGAGATGAACGACACCACTTTGGAGTGTGACGGCATCCTGTTCGACGGAACAGTTGGAGGATTAGAGCAGCTTCGTGTTCTGCAGCGTGCGATTCCAAAGCAAGTCCACTTGTTTGAGGGGGTCTTGCGAGACTTCCCGCCCTGTAAGGAAGAGGTTTCCTTGTCGTCACCACTGCTGCATGTGGCGCGGGAGATGCGCTCTGATGTTGGCAGTGTGAAGAACGAAGCCCGGCCAAGGCCACCGAAGAAAGGCGTTGACCTCAGCGCACTGCCGCCGCCAGTGCTGCCGGAGGTGACACGGCTTGAGTTGACAGACGAGGAAAAGGACGCAATAACATACTGGGAGCAACATGGGCATACCTACCCTCTCTTCTCAGCTGTGGTGCACATTTACTGCAGGCCACACGAGATTTTTTGTCGTTTCGCAGGACTTCGTGTTGATAAAGAGACACGAGAACATTACCACATGGTGTTTAATCCGCCGCCACCCGAGCGTATGCCGTACGTGGTAAGCCTTGATCGTGTGAAAACCTCCACGGCGCAGTTGCACCGCCTCTTGCTTAACCAGAACTGGCGCTGGGAGGCGATGAGGCGCTGGCTGAATCATGAAGCGGGATGTGTTGAAAACGTGCACGAAGTCAACGGAGAAGGCGCGTTGGAGAACATTATAGTCGACGTTCGAAACATCCTTCAAGAGGCAGGCGACAAATACAAGGCAGGCCTTCAGCGTTACGATGCTGCAATGGCCGCAAAAAAGAGGCAGGCATACATTGATGCAAGCATTGCCGAGCAGGAGGCTGCACGGGAGGCTGAACGAAAACGCCTTATCGCCGTCTACGCGGAGTGTGGAGCACCGATTCCGCCGGAATTGGAGTCGCGGCCACGGTTGACGCCATCCTACACAATGCCAGAGGCTTTACCAGAGGCTTTCATGCGAGTGTTTTCTGCCTTTAGGACCCAATACGAGAGTGCATACGGCTGGCTGGGAACAGCCGTGGAGAAACTTGCCAATTTGATGCTGGAGCACCGCTGCGCGGCGATGGGCGCCTTTAATCACTTCTGGAACCAACCGGATGAAAAGCAGGAAAAGCTGGATCAATTCGTGGCCAGCTACAATGCAGTACCGGCCGAGCTTCTGGGTCAGCCCTCGTGTAAGGAGGAGCTACATCTGTTGGTGGATCAGCTCCGGGAGGAGCTCTTCCGCACGCTGGAGGCAACCGCGAGAGAGGCCAGTGCAAAGATTGAGCAAATCACAAAAAAAGAGTCCTTCTATGGGCCATGGTGCGTGTCGGTGTGTAACCTTGGCGTTGCGATGGTGCAAGTGGAACTGGAGCGGTTCTTGGTGTCGCTGAACCTGGCGGCGATGTACTTCGCCGCCGTTGTGAAGCAGCCCTGCGTATTTGTGGAGTTGGAGTCGGAGGTCATTCTTGTGCGCTCCACCACCGAGGCCGCGGTGGAGCAGACCAAGGGGAAGGAGAAGAAGACGCAAGGCACCAAGAAGGCCCCGCAACCGGATGAGGTGGTTGAAAAGACCCTTGAGGACACCTTTGTGGAGACCATTGGGAAACTTTTGACGTCCATGGAAAGCCTCGTGGAGAAGTTTTCTTCCGTCGCTGAGGCGCCCACGAAGGTGCGTGAGGGTGCGAAGGCGTCTTCCGTGACTGCAGATGACGGCAGGACGGTGCTGATTCTCAAGAGGTGTTTACCCTTCGCCGAAGGCGAGTTGTCCAAGGCGCAGGAGCGTATCTCCTCTATCCGGCAGTTCTTCCTGCAAATCCAACGCGAAGGGGAGGCGTACTGCGCACGCATGAAGGATGACATGGCCTCCCACACTCGGGAGAAGAATTTCAGCCAGGCCTCGGCGGTCAACACGGCGATTTACGTTATTCGTAACGCCATTGAAGAGGAGCGACCGCTGTCGTCTATGCACTTGGGCCGTGACACGTTTCATACCGTCCCTGCGGCACCAAAAACAACAACCACCCAAGCTCCCTGCTTGCCCCATAATCTGCAGATATTGGCAGCGGCAGAAGAGCCAAAGATCCACGCAACTCTCTCCTCTTCACGATTGGTGGATATCATTGTGGCATTCCGTTCCGTGGCGCCTGGATATGCGGTGGGCCGCACGGAGTTCTTTCACATTGTGCGTCCCGGCGATTACGCTGGTGCTATTGTCAGGGACCTTGGGCGTCTGAAAACGCAGGGAGAGGTTTTTGCCGCGTTTGATCCGCTTGACTGCGGATTCATCGACTGGAGAGAGTTTGTGCTTCATCTGCTTTTATGGTGTGCGCCGGCGCCGGAGGTGGCGTCAGACGCAGACGCAGACGCAGACGCAGACGCAGAAAAGAACTTTTACATCACCGAGTGCTCCGTCGCACAACTGCTGGAGACCCGCGCCAACCTTGGCCTCGAGGCGGTCACCGAGGAGGACTTTTACGACGTTCCCTTCTTCTTTGATAACTGCCTGGCGGACGACCGGTTGGAGGCCTACGTGCGTGCGCTGTGGATGACGTTCTCAACGCCGGACGGACTGCTGGATCCACTGCCGCTGTTGATGTTTCTCTGCATTGACCGACAACCCATTCGCGGGGTGCAAAAGGCCTTCTACGTTCTCTCCCAGAATGGGGACGGCACCCTGACGCCGGAGGAGTTGGACTTCGCCTTTCACGTGCAGGTGACAAACCCCCGTAACATGTGTCTTTTAGATGTATTTTCGCCCGAAAACATTGCAACGCTGTACGACGGTGAGCCCTCGCTGGCCTTTCAGTCTATTAGCACCCGGGTCATTGGGCGCACCATGCTCAACAACACCGAGGCATTTCACCGCAAGTGTTTTCTTCTCGAAGAGCCTCAAGTTGGGTGAGCAGAATATAATTGTATAGTGAGTGGCCCCCAAGCGGGCCATATATGACCACAAGAATGAATGAGGGAAGGCGAGGGCGTGTGGATGTGTCACTCGCTTTGGACGGATTCTCCTCCTCCGCCTTGCCGCTTACTCCTTCCTTTGTGCGCTACTCCGTGAGTGCATCTATGCCTGTCTGCCCGTTTTGGTTTTGTTGTTGTTGTTTTAGCTTTCTTTCCTTTCCCCTGCTTCCGCCACCACCCTCGGCAAACTTGGCACGTGCATCGGAGACTAGAGTTGAGCAATAACTTACTCGTATGGCCGGCAAGCGCAACAAGAACAATGACTTTGACGATGTACACAAGGTCACTGTGCTGCAGCGGTTTGTCGGGGGGACAGTGGGTGGGATGCTGCAGGCGTTAACCAGTCATCCATTCGACACCGTCAAGTCGCGTGTGCAGCGCGGGATCTTCCCCGGCATCGTCTCCTGCTGTCGTCATACATGGGCGAACGAAGGCTTTCATGGCTTTTACCGCGGATTGAGCCCCCCACTCGTTATGGGTGGTGTGTACAATTCCATACTCTTTAGTCTGAACCAGTTCATGACAAATCTCTTGACGCCTGCGGGTTTCGATCATAAAGTCAAGCCTCCACTCTGGCGGACGGCCCTGTCGGCATGGTTGACGGCGCCAATTTACACTCTCTGCATCACCCCGATGGAGAATGTAAAGGTGAGGTTGCAGCTGCAGCACAGCTCCCGGGCAACACCAGATTTTACAGGCCCAATCGGCTGTATTCGCTGCATCCTGGTGAGGGAGGGTCCGCTTGGGCTCCTTGCGGGGTACTTGCCAACGGCGCTCTCGCGCTTGGTGGGCCTCCCCTTTTACTTTTCAGGTTATCAGTTGGCAAAGCAGCAGATAGACAACTCCGCCTTCGGGGCAACCACCGCAGGGAAGAGTTTTGGGGTGGTGGTGAGCGGATGTGTGGCGGGGGTGGTCTTTTGGTTGAGTAATTACCCTTTTGACTTTGTGAAGACACAACTGCAATCAGGCGGCACGAAGACCACATTCTCAGAGGTATTTGCCAGCACATATAAGACGGGCGGGGTGCGAGGGTTCTATAGAGGACTCCCAGCTTGTCTTTTGCGTGCCATTCCTGCCAACGCCTCTGTGTGGCTGGGCGTTGAGTGGACAACGAGGGCAATGCGGAATTACAACGTTTGATGCGTCAGGTTGCTCCGTCCTGGTTGTTGTTGTTGTTGTTGTTTCCCTCTTTCCCTGCGCCTTTGCTTTGTTCATCTTTGCATAGGCCGTGACATTTTCATCAATATTGTCTTTTCTTCGTTCCTTGGGCAGAGGCGGATGGGTGCCGTATTGGACTTCTCAGTCCTGTGGTGTTGGGGGGTCTCTGCGTGCACTTCGCGTCTGAGTATTCTTCGCGAGAATGAGGCTGCCTTACATGGATATATGCGTAACTCTATATGTATGTGTGTGTGCATTTTGTTATTGTTGTTGTTTTGGGCTCAGCAACACTGGCGCAGGCGAGTGTCTGAGTTTCTTTTTGTGTTTTTTGGATGGCACAAAATGCGAATTTGTTGTTCTTGCGTTTCCCACCCACCCACCCCTCCTTTATTTTCGCGCACGCGCGGCCCACAGCGTTTCCTCCATTTCTCCCCATTTCGCAGACATACAAATAAAAATAAACCACCCCAACTTGCATTCTGTTCATTTTGCTTACTGTTATTAATTTATCTTCCTTCGGCCGCCGCTGTGACTACTGCGCGCCTCTCGTCACTGCCAGACGCTAGCAATGCTGTGGGTAGACAAGTACCGCCCCAAGTCGCTGGATGAAGTGGAGCTGTACCCGGAGCTGACGGGGGTGCTGAAGCGCCTTGCCGAGTCGCAGGACCTTCCGCACCTGCTGCTCTACGGCCCGTCAGGCACTGGGAAGAAGACGCGCGCCATGTCGGTTCTCCACCACGTCTACGGTCCCGCCGTCTACTCCCTTCGGCTCGAGCACCGGTCTGTGCAGGTCACAGAGAGCAAGGTTGTCGATATCGCAACCCTGAGCTCTCCGCATCATATTGACATCAACCCGTCAGACGCCGGCAACTATGATCGGGTGATTGTGATGCAAATGATTCGAGAGATTGCTCAGACTGCCTCGCTGCAGTCCAGCTCCTCCACCGGTGTGGGATACAAGGTGGTGCTTCTCAATGAGGTGGATAAAATGGGCAGAGCCGCGCAACACGCCCTGCGACGAACGATGGAAAAGTACATGTCAACGTGCCGGTTGGTCCTCATCTGCAATTCCACCTCGCGCCTCATAGCACCACTGCGCTCACGCTGTTTGGCGGTCCGTGTCCCTTCGCACTCCAAGGAAAATTTAAGCAAAGTCATCCGGCAGGTGTGTGAGCGGGAGAACCGTCCACTGCCCTCCGCGGCGTTCATGGCCACCGTGGCCCAGCGCTCCGAGGGAAACCTGCGCCGCGCCCTCTTGATGGTGGAGGCAGCCGCCATGACCAACGTTGATTTCTCAGGGAATGGCACGGACATTCCGCAGCCGGACTGGCGGGTATTTCTTGACGAAATCACCAACGACATTCTCTCGGAGCAGACTCCGAAGAAATTGCATGAAATACGTGGAAAATTCTACGATCTCCTTGGTCAGTGCGTCTCTGGCGAGGTGATTCTTCGCGTGGTTCTCGAGAAGCTAATGTCGGCGGTCGATCCCGCCCTTCGACGGCCCGTGATTGCCCTCGCGGCACAGTACGACCACAACATGAAGCTTGGCACAAAGTCCATTGTACACCTGGAAGCGTTTGTCGCCGGCGTCATGCAGCTTCTGAAGCAGGCATAGAAGGGGCAACGATGACGGATTCTCTACGAAGGCAAAAGCCCGACGCGGCAGTCTGTTTGTTTAAACCGTGCAGGTTTGCCTAATTGGTTTGGCTGAGGCAAGCCTCCTCCCGTCTGGCCCACGCACAACTTTACTCTGTTGTTACCCACGCATTATAAGCTTGTCCTCCTCTTCTTCCTCCCTCCTTACTGCTCTTTTTCAAGCGAGGCGGGTGCTTTAGGTCCGTGCCTGCGCTCACGCACCGTTGCTTGCATTTGCACGGACACGCGCTTGGCAAAGGCCTGTTCTAGTGGTAGTAGCAGTTGTTGTCGTTTGTTTGTTTTTTCCTAGCGTAGGGGCTAGTGGAGTGATGCTCCGCCTTTCGCAGCCCCTGTTTATTGCCCACTGGTTTTGTGGGCACAAATTCCGGCATCGCTTCATGCGGGACAAGCGTTTCCATCCCTCGTTTCAGGCCGCCCACGACGCGCGCAACCGCTTCAGCAGGCGAAGGCACTTCAAGACAAATAGGTGGAACTACCATCAGGCCTACCGCGATATGCCGTGAGGGGGCGGGGACGCACTTGTCCTCGGCTGTAAATGGAGGAGGGAGCGGAGTTGTGGCGGGAAACGACACAGGAAGAGGAAGGAAATCAAAAGTATAACGTACGACTCGGTTGCCTGTGAAGATTGTTTGATCCTTTTTTTTCCCCTCGATTGCTTTATTTTTCTTTGTTTTTGTTTTTGTTTTTTGTTTTGCTCCTTCTTCTTTGTGCCTGTGCTCCTACTTGTCTGTCTTCTTTGCGCGTGTTCATTTTCTATTGTGTCTGCGGTGATTGTCGCCTGCCTGGTGGAACTCCGACCCACGCAGTGGCGCGGGGCATGCGTTTAGTTTAACCCGTCCCTTTCTTTGCTCAGAATGGCGGCGCAGACATCATGCGAGGAGGGCGGGGCGGACCTGCGCGATGAGCTGGACGCCAGCGTTGAGAGTGGCTCCGGCTACATTTGCCTCTGCGGCCCACCGAGCAGTGGGAAGACGACGTTGCTCTTGAATTATCTCACGGCACGCGAGCAGCACGTCCGCAACATGAGGAGCTCCTTTCATCTGGAGTACGTGAGTGGCAAGGCACTGGACGGTGATCCGTTGCAGCGACTGACGTGGCGGCTCCAGCCGCGCACCAAGCGCCGGCGGGCGCAGTGCACGGTGCAGCAGTTTGGCTGCTTGGTGCGGCAGTGGCTGGACGACGCGGCGGAGGGGAGCGAGCTCCACTTCGTTCTGGACGACGCCGACACACTGGAGGACGATGCCGCTGACGTCAATCACTGGCTCTCGGAGTGCCTCCCGGCGGCGCCGGAGGGGCGTAAGCGAAGCGTCGTCTGCCTGTGGATCGTTTCGCAGATGCCGCTTCATATTTCCAACTCGTTTCGCTTCCATTTCCTGTCGAAGCCTGACGCAGCCGTCGTGCAAGTGTGGCTGAACTCCCTCTTTGCGGCAAACCGCGAGTTCTTTTTTGGCGACCCCGGCCCGAGCACACCGCACTTTACGTTAGGGCAGGCGCACACGGCGGCGGTGGACGCCGTGGCTTACTACATCACGCACCTCCCGATGCGGGCGAGCATCGTGGCGCAGGATGTGCGTCAACTGCTGCAACGCGTCCACCACATTTTGCCGTTGCTCGCGCCGCACTACACAAGCGGGCGTCCCAATGCGATGCATCACTCGGCTGCGTGGGGGAAAAGACGGGAGTTGGCGAAGGTGGGGTCCGGCAATGATCCACTGGTGGCGGCGTTAAGGCGAATTGGTTATTCGGCGATACTGTGGGCCGTGAGCGCCTTTTACTGCGGCGCCGTCCCAAGGTCAAAACAGGCCTATGTGTTTGACGATCAGGGGTTGCAGCGTCGTACAAGATCGTCAGGGGCAAATGCCACTTCACATAAGGCAGCTGTTTTGTCCTCCTCCGCCCACAGTGTACATGTGCCACGCCTCATGTTGGTGTATCGGGCTCTGCTTAAGATTTGTGCTTATCACATAGACCCACTGGAGTTTGCTCCGGCGGAGACAGCTGTGCAGCACCACCACACGTTGGTCTCGTGGGGATTGTTGGTGCCGTCCTCGCAGAACTCCAAGGCGTATCACTGCCATATTCCCGTCACCTCTGCAGTTGGTCTCTCCCAACTGCTTTCGCTGAATCTCTACGATCTCATTCCAAGATGACCGCGTGTTTATGAAGTTACTTATTTACTTCTATCGCCGTTATTGTTGTTGTCGTTGTTGGCCTTTTTTTTTGGCAATGACATTGACGATAGGGACTCTGTATATGCTCTCTCTCTCTCTCTCTAATATATATATATATATATAATATTTCTCTGTATGCCTCAACCATCAATTGGCTGTGAACGAGCGACTTGGAGAAGCGGGAAATGTATTAATGAAAGACCTTCCTCCTTTTGATTCTTCCTTCTTATTTTTGTTGGTGGTGGTGGTGGTGGTGGGGTTTGTCTGCAACGCCTTTCTCCCGGCAGTCCACGCTGCAGAGGCAGTGACGCGAATGTCTTTTAGAAGCATGTTTTTCCCCCAGAGGCATGAACGACGGCGGATGTACTACTGGGTGGGGACTTTTTCTTGTGTGGTGGGCCTCCTGCTTTTGATTGTTTTGCTGCTCAAAAATGTGCTGCATGACCAGAAGGTGGTGCCCTCCTTCATTGGCGGCTACTGCGCCGTATTCGCCACGGTACTCTCCTTCTTCCAGATTCTGGAGCACCTGACCTGCTTTTCCGACCCGGAGTGCCAGACAAAGATTGTGCGCATCCTCTTTATGGTGCCCCTCTACGCCATGATTTCATGGATCTGTATACTTGCCCCCAGCGCCGCCGAGTACCTCAACCTGATCCGCGACGCTTACGAGAGTTACGCCATTTACGCCTTCTTTCAGCTGATGATCGCCCTCATGGGGGGCATGGATACCCTCTACCGCACCCTTATGCTGGAGGAACGGCCCCCCATACCCCACTTCTTTCCGCTCTGCTGGATGGAGCCGGTGAAGGTGTCACCGACGTTTGTACGGAATTGTCGTCTGTGCCTGTTTCAGTTTATGGTGGTGAAGCCGCTTGTGACGGTGGTTGTCATCATTTTAACAGCCAAGGATGAGATGGGCAGCATTCTGGATGTGCGCAAAGGATACTTTTGGACGACGCTGGTGTATAACATATCCATAACGACGGCTTTTACTGCTTTAGTTTACTTTTACACGGGGCTAAAAGAGTTTATGGAGGGAACAGACGCCTTCATGAAGTTTCTCTGCGTCAAGGTTGTTATCTTCCTCTCATTTTGGCAAGGCATACTCATTCAATTACTCTCTGCCACACATCTTTTGCCGCGCTTCCAGTATTGGTCGGAGGAGCGCGTGCCACAGGGGCTTCAAGACCTGTTGGTGTGTGTTGAGATGATGTTCGTGGCCTTTGCGCACCGTTACTGCTTCGGGACTGACCCCTACGCCCCTGACGCGGTGGTTGTGGAGGCGGAGCCTGGTACCGATACCGTCGAGAGCGGCGGTGGCGCCGGTGGGGCTTTCCCTCAGCGCACTATTCCACCAATTCGGTACAGCGTGTCGGCAAACCTCAAGTACACACTGAAGCACGAGGACATCATGTATGATTTAAGAGCTATCATGCATAACCGCTAAAGGCACACTGAACGAAGGGACTGAAGTGGCGGGTCTGGTGGTGTTGTTTGTAGCGGCAGAGCTGCTTTTCTGTCGTGTTTGCCGCGTAAGTCACGTTTCTTTGCCCCATCCACCTCTTCTTCTCCTCCTCATCCTCCTCCTCCTCCCCCGAGTGTCACTTGCGCCCAGTCGCTTCTTCATTCCTGTGCCTGTGTGCGTGTTGTCCACCACTAACGTCCCCCCCCCCCCCCTCCGGTCTCCTTTCACGCTCCCTTTGCGCTTCTTCCTACTTAATTGCTGCTGTTTCCTCTCCTGTCTACCCCCCGACCCTCGACCTCCGCCCGGCACAACAAAGATGGGGACAGAACAGGGCATGCAATGGCGCCCAAAAAAAAATGACGGATGCCCAGGCGGTGGACGAAAAGAGGCAGCAGTTGGATTCCATGAAGCGGCAGTGCCAGGCGGTGGAGCAGCTGATGATGCTGGCCGGCGAGGAGAAGCGCTATTTGGAGCACGAGAAAACTGTTCTAAAAAAGAAACTGGCGGAGCTGCAGGAGCAGAACGAGTCCACCGAAAATAGACTAGATGAGCACTTTCGTGCCATGCAGAATATGTCGGTAACGAACGAGGAGCAGCTCCGGCATCGGCTCAAGAGCCTTGAGAGCAAAGTGGCGGACGCGGAGGAGGGCAACGCAGCCCTGCGCTCCAAGCTTGAAGAAACGACGCGACAGAAGAAGGAGGAGTTGCAACGACTGCATGACGGTATTGCAGCTCTCCGAGAACAGCTGGAGTCCAAGGCACTAGAGTATGGGGTGCAGTTACGCGATGTCCTCTTCGCGCGGTCTTCGCCGTTTGAAGGACAGTTTTGATAAAAAAAGAACCGAGTTGCAAAGGCAAAAGACAACAACAACAAGTGCACGTGTGTTGACTGGCGCCAGGGTGCACTCCTTTTAACGGAGCGTTTCTTTGATGTCGTACTGTATTCTGTTTCTCCGTGTCTAAAGG